AGTGAAGCCTTCTACTTCCCTTCAGTGAGCTACACACAGACATACACATCCATGAAGGCCCCACGTGGAGCTCACCATCTATCAACATGCCTAAGAAAAATGAACTCACTTGATTCCTTGAAATATCCTATGAGGTAAGTCCCCATCTTACAGATACGGAAACAGAGAGATCACAGAGTTAATACAGGCAGAGTCAGGAATCCAGCTCTGGCATCTGGCTCCAGGGTCTATGCCCTAACTGTGCCACCACACGACCTTGGTTTCTTGTCTTGATTCATTCCTGCTCTACAGATGCATCTACTTTCCACCCTTCATCTTCTAGTTCCCATGTTCATGTCTCTAGGACTAGTGTCCTTCTTTGTCTTGAACAGTCCTGCATGTCTTTAGGTACTGTATTATTTACTTTTCTTGAGCTGTGACAAAATACCTGATGAAAGCAACTTAAGGAAGGAAGGGTTCATCCTGGCTCACAGTATAAGGGTACAGTCCATCATGGGAAATCTGATGGCAGGAGTACAAGGCAGCTGGTCACATTGCATTGACAGGAAGCAGAGAGAGAAGTGCTGGTGCTCGGTTTGCTTTCTTTTTATTCAGTCTGACACCCCAGTCCATGGAATGGTGCCACCCATATTTAGGGCCCATCTTCCCACCTCAATTAACCCAGTCTAGAAACTCCCTCACAGACATGCTGAGAGGTTAGTCTTCTAGGTGATCCTGTCAAGTTGACAGTCAGTCAATACTAACCACCACAGGTACCCAACACAAGTGCTCTCTCTATGACAATGCTATTGTCCCACCCAGCTAACTGGGTAGCCCCTGGGTTCGCAGAGAACTTGGCATACAGGTACAATGCAGATAGCCCTGGACCAACAGCTCCTCCTAGAGAACTGTCCCAGATGGGTCTCCAATGTCTGGCACAGAACTTGGTTCAGTCCAGGACATACTAGAGAGTTGAGTGTCTGAGACACACAATCCCAGGGCAGTGGGAAATCAGGTTCCATCCCTTGCCCTTAGTAACTCATAAAAGGGTAGAGAAACTGATCCACTACCAGCCCAATCTATGGGGATAAGTTCCAAGAGAGGGGCCAAACCTTTTCTGTCCACTGGGAGAATCTGGGAAGCTTCTCAAAGGAGCCAGCCTGTCTGCTCTGCCTTGAGGGATGAAAAAGTCTGCCTTGTGGAGAGAGGGTCACATGCAGGCAGGAAAGAGAAAGGTAGAAAAATATCAAGAATCTCCAGACCCTGGTGAACTCAGCTGAGCCCAATTCCACCAGACAGAGAGCTGCCAGAAGGCACGTCATGGCTGCCTGCTGCGCCTCAGTAACTCCTACCCCCACCCAGCACTGTGCCTACCCATCACACGTGCAGTGTGAACACATTTAGCAGACAAAAGCTTTATTCAATGCTAAGGCCTACTTAGGAAAAGACTGCAAAGTGACCAATAACCCTGAGCCTGCAAGCGAGTAACCATCTGGAATGAGAACGCAGAGGGCCTGACGTGCTACAGGGCTTCTCTGAACCCCTCTGGCTGGATGCACAAAGTTCTAGGAACAGTGGGGTACACAGAAGGCCACTGTTTCCTGTCAGCCTTGAGGCATCGGTTCCCAGCCAGTGCATGTACTGACATCCTCCCTGACAAGCCACCCCCATATCATGCCCCTGTCATTGTGGGGCCTCCCTGACCCCAAAAAGGCCAGACTGCCCCATATGAGTGGATTCTCTCTCCTCCAGAGAGAGGGGCATCCAGAGGGTGAACGTGGGTGTTTGAGTCCTGAGTGCTGGTCACCTCTTGGTGACCTTGAGCGGGCCTCAGGAGTCACGGAGGAGGCTATGTTCTGAAAAGCTCCTTTTCTTTCTGGTATTCTGTTCATCTGACCCTAAGGAGGCTGTCTGTCCCCATAGAGATGGCCAGGCAGCTCTTCTCAGACAACCTCATTCATTCATCTCCCAATACTGAGGTCTCTCAAGGGCCACCAGGCATGGGAGGGGCCATGGTGGATGAGGAAACACTGTCACAGAGTAGCTCCCAGCCCATTGGGGAGGGCGGGGTTGGGACAGTTAAAGAACCTTCCAGGCAAGGGAGCTAAACCAAAGGTAGGCTGCCGGGGGGTTCAGGAAAGCATCTCAGAGTCATTCAATGATTACTGTGTGCCAGGCTTTGAGACACATCAGCAAAGAGGACAAGCGAGCAGAGTCCTGCAGGGAAGTAGGAATAAACTCAAAAGAAAAGGGGGAAAAGAGGAGAGGGAAAGGAAGGGATGTGAGGGAGGGAAAGGAAGACTACAGGAACAGCCACATGGAAGAACTATTTGGAGAGAAAATGCACCTCACTTGTTGGAGCTGACTGACATGTGACTTAGGGGGAAGAGAGAAGAGGTGACAGGACAAGGCCAGCTACAGCAAAGCAAAATGGAGGGACTACAACACAGGCTAAGGACTCAGGGCCTAATCTTGTTGCCAACTCAGAGCTAGAGAAGGTTCTCAGTTGAGGGAGCAGGTTGAAGGGAGCTTAGCACCATCACCAAGTTCAACACAGGCAAAAATCACCTATTGGTCATAGAACACTATGACAAGTCTCTACTACCTGAGTCCAGCTTCCAGCCCCTCATGCCTGGGCCTGGATGAAGGGTGTCTGAACATCTGTCTCTGTCCATCCCTTCCTGGTTCTTCCTACCAGGCTCCCAGGTACTGTGAGGGATCAGAGACAGGCCCACACACCCCACGGGCTATATGTTTTCATGTCACTTGCTTTCCTATAAAACACCCATCATATCAACGATGGTTTTAAAACTTCCCGTGACTGTCCTCTGGCAATGAGTCCAAACTCAGGACTCTTCAGAGTTGTGCTCTGAGTCACAGGAGGAACCTAAGACTGTCTCTCTAAATGCTCCCACACTGACTTCCATAAAGCATAGCTCTCTCCTGCTTCCAGGATTTCCCCAGGAGTCCTTCTGTCCTCTGCCTTCCTGTCATCTGCTCAGGAAAGCCTCTGCTAACCAGTACAGGCCAGAGATCCTCAGAGGGGTTCACTGGACAAGCTGTCCCCTTTGCCATTCTGTCCATCCATCCTCTGGCCACTGCTTGCCTGATTCCTACCTGGTTCCTCACTCATTTTCCTGTCAAGCCACAGCATCTGGAGTTTGTTGTTATTGTTGTTACCATTTGGTTTTGTGAGACACCCTGCAACCCAGACTGGCTTTGAATTTACTTTGTAAATGAGGGTGACCGTGAACTCCTGATCCCTTCTCTGACATCTCCCAAGTGCTGGGATTACAGGTATGCACAATGCCTGCTTGGAGCAACCTTTCAAAGCCGCATAGTTCTGACAGGAGAATGTCATTACTGGTGGGTGGGTGGAATTACTGTACTATTGGTTGGAACCTAGGGAACATCACGGGGTCTCTCCAAGCAGTGACACTGGGTTCCACCGAGTAAGATCCACGTGAGGCTTACGGAAGAAACTGTACTGTACCGCCAAGGCTCCCCAGGCCAATTAGTGGCTTCCGAACCACCGGCGCGCGCACACCCAACATTCAGTATTACATCAAAACCCATCACTCTTGCTCAGCGACCAAAGCGGCGGGGGGCGGGGGAGGGGCTCAAAGGATGTGGACACAGTTCCGGCAGCCAAGGAAGCGAGGGGGCTGAGTAGCCGACACGTCACGATTCGAGGCGCACTGTCCTCACATACCACCGTTCCTATTTTAGAAACTCAACGATGCTCCTCCGTGCCGAAGGACGCTGAGAAACGGGAAGTGTGGAAAACAGATCCACTCTTTATTTTCAAAAACTTCTTTTTCACCGCTTCCTAAAATCTGAACCTTTCACAGCACTCAAATCTCAGCTCTGCTCATCGCGTCCTAGGAGAGGGCGGCAACATCACACCACGCCCCGGGGCTCCGCTGCCCGGGGATGCCCTAGCCGCGGGGTTGGGGGCCCCTCCCCGCCTGCCTCTACCCTGCCTCCTTCACAGGCCTCAGGCCGCGGTCCGGGACAGCTCAGCCCTCCCTCCGGCCTCTCCTTCCATCGCGGTCTCCAGGCTGCCGGCTCCCCAGCCCGGCTTTCTAAGAGCTTCCATTGTCCTCCCTTCAGACGCACCTCCGCATGCTCGGCACCGCCCTGTCCGAGGTACAGTCCACGTTCCGCAGAGCTCCGCCCTTTTCCCACTCTCTGATTGGCGGCTGCCGCCCCACGGCTCGGGGGACCCAGGGAGCAGAGCCGAAGCTTGCCCCGCCTCCGTCCGCGGCATGGGGGCGGGGCCTAGTATGACTCCACCCTGGCAGGGGCGGGGCCAAGCTTTCAGGCGCTCGGGCGCTGCCTCCGCAGGGCTCGGCTGGCCTCGGCACCCTTCGGCTCTGGCGGCGGCTCGGGTGGGGGTGAGCAGCTAGAATGACAGCGGCGCAGGCAGCCGCGGCCGCGCGGGGCTGAGCGAGCGGAGAGCGAGACCCGGGTAGGAGGAGGAAGTGGAGCCGCGGCCGGGAGCTCCCGAGTCAGCCCCGCGCTGAGGTCAGCCCCGGAGTGCAGAGCGTACAGCGTCGGGACCTGGAAAGACTTCCCCGCGGGGCTCCGGCCGCCGATCCTCCCCGCCGGCGCCTGCCCTGCCCTGCCCTGCCCTGCCCTGCCTGTGCGAGTCCCGCGTTCCGCGCTCTCCCAGCCCCGCGGTCCAGAGCACCGGCCTCTACCCCGCGTGCCGATACGGACGCCCCTGGACCCACCATACGGACCCATCTCTACCCGTGTGCCCTCCGCCCGGGGGTCATTGCAAGGTGGAGCCAGCTCCTGGACCCGAGTGCAGAAGACCCCGGACGCACCCAGCCTCCAGCTCCGGGACAACCGAACCTCCAGCTGCTTCAGACTTGGAACTGCGGGCGCTGGAGAAATCCTAGCCTGTGTCCAACGCCCCTCGAGGAGGGTCCCAGGCCGGCAGGACAGAAGAACTGAACCCCTGGACTGGTGCTTCGAGCCCAAGCTGCCACCTTCCTCCGTCCTGGGCTTAAGGGCTCCGTGCTTGTCCCGGAGAGAAAGCAGGGGCTCCTTCTGCTCCAGTCTCCCGGAGAGCCGAGGTTGCAGGTGAGAGCCCCGGATGCGCTGCGGGAGCGGTCCCGGTCACCTCTGGACCGGGTGCGGGTCAACAGAGGGTATGGAGGGAACCCGGCAGAGAGTGGGACTGGTTAGGAGAGGGCGCGCGAAAGGGAGAAGAGAGAAACCGGCACTTTTTGAGCGCCCATTGTGTGCAGGTCGGTGCCCCGCCCTTGCACATAGGGACCCTCATCTAAGGCCCATAACTCCAGAGATAGCTGTTCTGTATTGCTTGGGGCTTTGACAGACGGGGAAACTGAGGCATGGCAGGGCTGAGGAACGCTGCTGCCTGTGCTGGGGATAAGACTGGGGAGGACGGAGAAGGGAAAGAGCGAAGAGGGAGATGAGAAGGAAAGTGAGTGGCTGACAAGCCAAGAGCCTGGCACCGTGGGGCCTCCACGGGGCATCCAAGCTCCAAGCGCTGATCTTGAACCTAAAGAGGTAGTTTTCCTTGCCTCCCACTCCTGGGGCATGGCTGCTACATCCCAAGAAAGGTGACTCAGTGTTGAGGGCAGAGGTGAGAAGCTTCTCAATTCCAAGGGGTCTCTCCCTAGGGTCCAGGATGGGGAAACAACTGCTTTCCAGACTCCAGAGTCCCCAAGACATGCTGGAGTTCCTAAAGTGCTTGCTTATCTGTTAGGGGAAACCAGAGTCCTGTGGAAGCTAGATTTGTGATCCCTCAGAATTCACCCACCTCCCCTTCTTCACATTATTAATAGGGACAGTGAAGACTTGGGGACAGCCCAGTTGCCCTAGGTACTAAAGCTAGTGAGTAACTGAGCCAGAAGTAGACTTGAAGAAGACTTCAAGGGGTCCTCTTCCTTTTCCATTTGGCACCTTTTGGGTCTGTGGCTGGGGTTTTCCCTACCCCTGGTATACGGTTGGGGTGAAAATGTATAAGGCTACAGTGTGCATGTGTGATTGGGGCTGGGGCCCAGATCAAAGCCTGACCTGGGTCTTAGAGGATCCTGCAAGACCCTTCTGACTCAGGAGAGGAAAGCTCCTCCAGGCCTTAATGCTGCCAGGCCTGGGGACACAGTCCAGGTGTCTTGATTCCCAGGCAGAGGGTTCCTCCTGCTGCCTCTGGGGTCGGGTCATGTAGGAGAGGGGTGTTGTGAAAGAGCATTTGGCACTGACTCTGTGGGCTCTTGTCCTAGGTGGGGAGTGGGGAGGCATATGGCCTTGGTCTGGGTCCTGTGGCCTTGGCTGGGACTAGCTAATCTTTGTTGTGCTGGGCTCCTTGGGGAAATCACCTTGGAAAGCCCCTGAGAGGTGGTACAGGGTCCCGGAGACTGTAAGCTTGTTTTGGGGGCTGGAGGGGTTGAGGGAACCTAGAAGGTGACTAAGGGGCTTGGGATTCCCCCTCCCTCACCTCTGCCTGAGGATTCAAATCCTCATAATAATCCTTGCATCTAAACAGAGCTCCTCTTTGATGAACTAATTTCACACCTGTGATCTCATTTCCCTGTGTGCTGGAAGGAGCCTGGGAACCTGGAGCGAGGCAGAGCAAGGCTGGGGAGTCTCCTTTCAGTGCCTCACTTGGAAAATGGGCTCAGGTACTAAGAGGATCCCATAAGCAAACAGTGGAGTGCTGAGGAATTTGCAGGGCTTGCCCAAGAAGGGCTTGTTATTTGGGACTACCTTGAGTAGGAAACTGAGGCTCAGAGAGGTGAAATCTTTTACCCAGGGCTGCTGTGAGTTTGCTTCAAGAATTTTGTGAGCACCAACTGTCTTCCAAATGTGTTCAAGTAACTCAAATGGGCTAAGTGGCAGGCTGGAGCCTAAGGGATGGGTGGGCAGGGCAGTGATCAGTAAAGCCAGGCAGGTGAGAAACTTGCCTTGCTTCTGCCCACAGCCCCCCTCCCCCACATCACCCTCTGAGCTCTCTACTTCTCTGTGAGAATGGAACACCTTCTCCACCAGGACTGAGTTATAGAATACACAGTGCCTGGCCACACATCCATTTCCTTTCCCCAGGAGGAAAGGAAGCTGGAGTTTTGACCTGAAAGTCTGGGAAATTCCCAGATTTGCTTGAGGTTAGACCTATTGAAGGCTCAGAGACCTCAATGTGATTAACTGAGGTTCCTGGGCTGGTCAGACTCCCCTGTACCACCTCTCTGTGTCTCTAGAATGTCTTTGGGACCACTGGTAAGGGGCTCTGGATTCTGACAGTCCCCACACCCACTGTGGCTTCCTGTGGGGCAGGCACTGGTGTCCATTCCTTTTGGCCCATTGTCTGGCCTCCCTAGGCACAGGGTGCAGTGAATAATTTATCATTCTCCTCACTGGGAGGCAGGCTAGGGAAATAGCTGGGCTCTGCTGAGCTTCCGCCCCACCAGAGGAGGCCAGTAGCTCCTGTTTGTGCCTGACTCTGGGTTATGCAGTGTGTGTAGAGGGGACCTAACAGAGAGGAACCTATTCTTCTCCCAGCTCTCTCCTGTTGAGGAACCAGAAGGACCTATAGGCAACAGTGGGAACCACAGTAGCTGACCTAGAATCGTGCTGTGGGGCCTCTGGTTCCAGAATGTGGGGGATGGGGATGGGAGGATGGTCAGGAAGACCTTGCAGGATCAGTGTAATGGGAAGAAAGAGGGAAGTCTCTGAACTGGAGTTTGAGGCAACTCACTGTAGAGTAAGGCATCCTGTTGTCAAAGTTGAACCCTACCTATACTACCTGCTCACTCTGAGAATGGGGCCCAAACAGCTGACCATACAAGGCCACTGTTTCCCCCTCTGTAAAATCATCATAGCAGTGCTCTCACTTCTCAAAATTGTTCAGCGTGAGCATGGGGGTCACATGAATAAAACACAGGGTAGAAATGGTAGTCAGTGAAGGGGTACTTCACTGGGAACACAGGGTAGGTAGGTCAGCGGTGGGAGAGATGGTATGGTGTGGCAGGCAGGGCGGGGAAAACTCTGGGGCAGTGATCCTGGGGTAGTGATGTGGGGTTAGCCATGGGTGAGCAGAAGGCACAAGTTGATTAAATGGGAACAGAATAGAGGTCCCACTTAGAGCCCCCCTGTAAGGGGAAGACCAGGCCCTGGGTATGGCGTTTGAGCCCATGCCAGTCCCATCCACGAATTGGGACTTCAGACTCCTTGCTCACCACTGTCTGTTTAACACATCACATGTGGCCATCCTGCCAGCCCTTTGCTGTCCGGCTGTGCTTCCAGTCACATCCCTGCCTCTCCACTCACTTCTTTCTGTCTGTTCCAGCTCATCCTGGGTCACAAATACTTCCTGAGAAATGTTCCTAGGTTATCCAACCCTCTTGAGGTGCCACCTGTGCATCTTTAATACTTAACAGTAACACATACTGATAGCAGTGATAGTTTATGGTTTATGAATGCACACACACAGTTAATCCTCCTATCATGATGTTGGCAATAGCTAATACCCTTCAGTACTTAGTGTGCAAAGCACTTTACAGTCACTTCACATTAACTCTACAGAATGACTGCTCTCTCCCAGAGACTGGAGCTCAGAGACGTGCACTGCCTTATTCAAGTTCCTATAGCTAAACAGCAGGGAGCAGGGAGTCAGGCCTGTAGCTATTTAAATCAGAAATCTGTGCTTCTCTGTCACCGAAAGGATAGCCAACCAACCAGCTTTTAGATGTCCTGTGTCTTCAACTCCACCGATACCTTGAAAGCATTCTTTGCATGTGAGACGCCTGGATATGTACAAGCCTTCTTTCCTAGGCCAAAGGGCTAGGTTGACTATGGGGCCCAGGAAGGAACCCCTGGCTCTGGGCTCTACCCTGGTAGGCAGATTGTATGGCCTATGATGAGTCAGCCCCTCTGTGTCCTGTTTGGTGTCCCAGCACCCCGTGTTTCCAGCTTTCTGCAGTGTCCTTCATGACCCTGGAAGAGGTCACAGCATAGGGCCAGAGGATGTGGTAAGACAAGCGGCTGTGATTTTGGCCTAGCCACTGTCTGGGCCAGCAGCAGTGTGGTCACTTGAAGGAGGGTGGTGGCCTGTGCTGTAGGCAGCATGGTCATTAGCTGTGATTGAGAGCAGGCTGGGCCAGGCCAGGTTGGCAGGACTGGAGGCAGGCTGGCCTGGCCACTGTGGGGTCATTGGCAGGGCAGTTGGCAGAGCAACTGGCTTCTTGCTTTGCTACCTAAAAGGTGGTAGCAATCGCACACTGGACACCAGGGCTTTGTGGACATGGCTTGCTTGCTGGCCTGCTGTAGTTAGGGGAGGTTGGGGGTATCTTTCAAGGCCTGGACCTTTATGCCTTCTCTCAGAAGCTCCCAGGACTCCTTTCAAGCAGGTAGAGCCCAGTTCTCTGCTGCTGACCCATGGCCCCTGCTCGCAGACTGGCCTGGGGGAGGGGGTGGATTTACTTCCTAGCCAGCCTGGCAGAACCCCTCCCCTGGATGCCCAGTAGTGTGCCTGGTACAAGGTAAACCATCCCTGGAAAAGGAAGCAAGCTTCCTCTGGCACAAGTCCTTCAACATTGGCACCTCTTTTCTTACCTTTAAGAGGAATTGATAATTAGCAGTGCATGAGGCATTTAATGCAATGTAGGGAGTGGGGCACCTGCTGAGGTCTGGCACACAAGCAGCTATGCTGGGGTGAACCCCCTTGCCATTCCTTCCTCGGCCTCGTGAATGGACGACTAGGTAAGAGCTAACTGAGGAGTCCAGCAAGTGGAGCCAGGAAGCAGGGTATCGCAGGGAGGACTACCTGGAAGAGGCTCCTGAGTGTCAATGAGCAATACTGCTCCCAGTGCCTTCCCAGGGAGCAGCATCATGTGAATAATACCAGGAAGTTGTTGATCTGGGAGGAACCTTGAGCTGGATCTGGGACAGGAGTAGGACTGTGAAGTCTGGGGACCTACCTGGGTGTCTCAGGCCTGTGTGGCAGCAATGACCCAGTTGGGACGAACCATTGGGATCCAGCCAGCAGATGCCCAGCAAGTGTGAATCTTTTACAGGGAGGTAACATTCAGTCCACCCCTTGTCCAACTACATACCATACCATT